GCCGTTGAGTTGATTCCAACCCATAGCGACCCTGTATAGGGTTTCCAAGGAGCAGCTGGTGTGCTTGAACCACCAACATTGCAGTTCAAACTGACTTTAAGGCCCTCGAAATCATTTGGTCTGGGTCTGCCAAGGCAACTGCAGTTCTAGATATCGCATTGTTGTTGTTCAGTGTTGTCAACTTGGTTCCAAACCATAGCAACCCTATAAAGGATTTCTGAGAAGCGACTGGTGAGCTTGAACCACTGACCTTGAGGTTCAAACCAACTTGGTAATCCAGTGCATTAATGTGCAGCACCATACCAGGACCACATCGTTGTTGTTGTTAAGTGCTGTCGAGTTGGTTCTGACCCATAGCAACCCTGTATAGAGTTTACAAAGAGTGGCTAGTAAACTTGAACTTCCGACCTTGCAATTCAAATGACTTTGCAGACTGGCGCGTTAACCCACAGCGCCACACCAGGACTCCATAGGATCACATGAGGGGTGAATTAATTTAATGTTTAAGCAAACATAGCAGGCGAATTTTTAAGTTGAAAATTTTGTATGGTCTGTGAATGGTATTTTATAAATATCTAAATAGCCTTTGGCAGAAAAAAGTTTCCCCACCACTGGGTTAGAGTCACCAACATTTAGCTTAGTTGTTACGCTCAAACCATTTGTGTCACTTGTAGTTTTTGTTGTTGTCAGATGCCATCGAGTCAGTACTGACTCATACCGACTCCTATGCGCAACAGAATGAAACACTGCCCAGTCCTAGGTCAACCTCATAATTGTTCCCACACTTGAGCCAATGTATTTCGTTTGGTTTCTTCCTCTTTATCTCTGACCCTTCACTTTACCAAACATGATATCCTTCTCCAGCGATTGGTCCCTTCTGACAATATGTCTGAAGTGTGAGAGACAAAGTTAAGCCTTGGTGGTGTTTTCATGCTGTGGAGTCAGTTCCAACTCATAATGACCCTGTACAGGGTTTCTGAGGCTGTAAATCTTTACCGGAGCAGAAAGCCTCATCTTTCTCCTGTGGAACAGCTGGTAGTTTCGAACTGCTGACCTTGAGGCTCACAGCCCGATTCGTAACTACTATGCTACCAGAGGCACCTCGAAATCAGAAAGGTACAGCTTCAAATTTCCAGACTCAACAGAGCTATAAGGAGTACCCAAATAAATATAGCACAGGTAGCTCAGAATTCCCTGTCTTCCCCTCCAGCCTATACCAAGGTTAACCATGATCTTTACTTATTCTTTACCTGTTTATTGTGAATTGAGCGAAGTTCTACAGAGCAGATCACAAGTTTTACATTCAATAAATCATATACTTTGTTTCATTAATGATCATTACTGAAACAAAGTATATGATTTAGTTTAGTTTTTTTTTATGTTTTATTGTGAATTATGTGATAGTTTACATGGGAGAACATTAGCTTTACATTCATCCTAAAGTATATCGTTTCATTGTCATAGTTACAATTGCCTCCATGCATCATCAAGCAACCAAAGGGTATACCCTGCAAGCCTGCCCCCCGCCTCCCCAGTCGTTAGCACACAGCCCCTCTCTCTCTCTGGGTGTAGAGTCCCCAGCTGTTCCAGCGCTCCACCTCATCGTCCCTGCCTCCATCTCTGCCGTCACTGCTTCTCTGGGTAGGGTCCCACACTCTCCTCTTCTCCCCAGTTTAGTCTGTTTTTGAATGTTATATAAATGAAATCTTACAGCATACACTCTGTGTGTCTGGCTTCTTTTACTCTATTATGTTTGAAATTCAGCCATATTGTTCAGGTAATTGTTTATTCACTGCATTGTTGTTGGTAAGTGCCGCAGAGTCAGTTCTGACTCATAGCAAGCCCTGTATAAGGTTTCCAGGGAGCGACTGCTGATTTTGCACTACCAACCTAGGGTTCAAACCGACCTTGCAGTCACTCCAGTGCTGTAGACTGTTATAATTTATCCATTCTTTTATTTATGGGCCTTCGGATAGTTTCCAGTTTGGAGCTATTCCAATTTTTTTAAAAAATTGCTATGAACATTATTATTCATAACTTTTGCTTTATATATTATAAAGTAAGAAACCAAGGCCTAAAGATTAATTCATTCACTACCCACTTATTGAAATCCTACCAAGCACTGTGCTAAGATCAAGAAAATAGAGAAAAGACCATAGTATTGCCCTCATGGGAGTCCCGGTGTGGCCCCATGGGTTAATGTGCTGAACTGCAAAGTCAGTTTGAACGGCAAGCTCTGCGGTTCAAGTTCACCAACTGCTCCTTGAAAACCCTACAACAGGGTTGCTATGGTTCAGAATTGACTCGACAGCACTTAACAACAATAACTGCCCTCATGGAATTTATATTCTAATTGGCACAAAATTGCAACAACCCAAGTGGACAGAAAATAAGTTAAACACTTAAAATTGTGTTACTAATTCTGAGGGAACCAAAGGGTCAAGTTAGAAAATAAGGAGGGGTGACATATTTTTTAGGTAAAGTCTCAAAAGAAGAGAGATCTAGGGAAAATATGCACTGCCAAGCAATGTAAATCCTGGTATGGTGCTGTAGGAAAAGCACTGAACTGCTAACCACAGGTTGGCATTTCAAACCTACCAGTTGCACCTCAGAAGCTCTATTATTGCTGTTGTTGTTAAGTGCCATCGAGTCAGTTCCGATTCACCATGACCCTGTATAAGGTTTCCAAGGAGTGGCTGATGAGTTTGAACTGCCAACCTTGTGGTTCAAACCAACCTTGCTGTCCAGTGTTTTATCCCACAGCGTCACACCAGGACTTCAGAAACTCTATACGGAGTCATTATGAGTCAGAATCGACTCTACAGCAGTTAACAACAGCAAGCAATGAATATGAACAGAAGAACATTCTGGTTGGAGAAACATCATGTACGGTTAGAGGAGAGGAGCTAGCTTGGTCTGTTCACTAGTGTGGCTAAAACAGTACGGTGAGGAAGGAGGGTGTGATTGGATATAGAATCATATGATTCAGAGGCTTGAAGGTCAGAATACATTTTGGTTTTATTTTCAACACTGTGGAAATCCATTGACGTGTTTTCAACACAAAGGTGATCTGATCTAATTTACTTTTTAAAAAGAGCCCTCAGACTGCTGAGCAGAGAATGGATTAAAGGGGGCAATGCAGGAAGTGGGGCAGTCACTTAAACTATTAGGGTAATCCAGACAAGAGAGTGAGTAATCCAGGCAAGATAGAATCCTGGTGTGGCACCCTGGGTTAATGCTCAAGGTCAGTGGTTCAAACTCACCAGCTGCTCCTTGGAAACCGTATATAGGGTTGGTATGGGTCAGAACTTACTTGACGTCACTTAATAACAACATATGATGATGGGGAAGAACTGGATAATGTTTTGTGCTGCTATACATAAACTATGACAGCCTATTGGACAGCAGCAAGCAACATTATTGTGATGCTATAATGTAGCGCTGTTGTTGTTGTTGTCAGGTGCCATCGAGTCGGAACCGACTCATAGAGACCCCATGCACAGCAGAAC